TTCTCATGGTATCAACTTCTTTGTTCTATATAATAGTCTGTGCTGAGCTTGTTTTGTTTATGAATTGTGTTATCACTTCCTTCATTGTTATTGTTTTGTTGTTGTTGTTGTTGTTATGTGCCTTCGAGTCAAACCCGACTCATAGCGACCCCTCCTTGGGTTTCTGAGGCAGTATCCCTACGGAAGTAGGATTGCCCAACCTTCCTTCTGAGGAGTGTCTGGTGGGTTTGAACCGCCAGCCGTCTGGTTAGCAGGCAAGTGATAATGTTTTGTTGTTGTTGTTGTTGTTATGTGCCGTCGAGTCAGACCTGACTCATAGCGACCCCTCCTTGGGTTTCCGAGGCAGTATCACTACGGAAGTAGGATTGCCCAACCTTCCTTCTGAGGAGTGTCTGGTGGGTTTGAACCGCCAGCCGTCTGGTTAGCAGTCAAGTGCCTTAGCCACTATGCTACCAGAGCTCCAGTATGTGCTAAATATTTCTGCTGGTCCTCTTTTTTATTTTCATGTGAAGGTTTATCATTTTTCTCTGAGATTATTCTGTGATTTATAGTTTTCTTTCCAAGTTTAGAATAGTCCATTCTATCTTGTAGTTGTCTTTACTTCCCTACCTAACGACACAGTTTTTTCCCTCCTTTTGGTTTGTAGTTGTCCTCATTTGTCAATTGATGACTCTGGTTCCCTGCTTACAATCTTGTAGGCTTATTTACTTCAGATACTTCCATAGCTGGGTTGGTTTCTGGGTTATATCATCATGTGTGATAATGGTCAGTTGTTGCTGGCTGTTGTTGCTTCTCTGTCCAAAGGGCTCCCTTTAGCATCTCTTGTAAGGTTGGTCTGGTTTTAAAAAATTCCCTTAATTTCTGCTTATCTGGAAATGCCCTAATTTCACCATCCCATTTGAGGGACAATTTTGCTGGATACATAATTCTTGGTTGAAAATTTTTCTCTTTCAGGGTTTTATATATACCATCCCATTGTCTTCTTGCCTGCATGGTTTCTATCAAGAAATCTGAGCTTAGTCTTATTTGGTTGCCCCTTGTAGGTAACTTTTTGTTTTTTCCCATGCTGCTCTCATGATTCTCCCTTTGTCTTTGGTTTTGGTGTGTTTGATAATGATATGTCTGGGTGATTTTCTTTTGGGGTCTATCCTGTTTGGGGTTCATTGGACTTCCTGAATGGATATATTCTCCTCTTTCATCATACCAGGAAAATTCTCTTCCAACAAATCTTCAACAATTTTCTCTGTGGTTTTATTTGTCTCTCCTGTTCTAGAATTCTGATTACACATAGGTTATTCCTTTTGATGGTATCCCACATGAACCTTAGGTGTTCTTCATTTTGTTTTGATCTTTTTTCTGATTGATCGCTTTCCAAAGATGTATTGAGGTATTTGCCTTCAATCTCACTAATTCTGTCTTCCATCAATTCAATTCTGCTCCTTTGCTCATTCAATGTCTAATCTATTTCTGAAAATTTAGTATTAATTTTCTGGATTTCTGTGTGTAGATTTTGTATCATTTCTAATTTTTCATTTATTTTGTCATTTTATTCTTGTATTTTCTTCCAAAATTCTTCTAGGGTTTTGTCTGTGTTTTTCTTGGTCTATCTCTCAATCCTTTGAAGACACCTACATATAATTCTTTTGAATTCCTTATCAGGGAGTTCCAATGGTGCGTCTTCCTCAGGGATGTGTTTTGGGTCTGTATCCTGGTCCCTTGTTTCTCCTGCTTTATCTTGCTTCTTTGTGTGGACTGTGATGTTCTGTTGTTTCTGAGGAATTGTGACATTTTTGTGTTTATATTTAATTGGTGATAGTATCTTAGAATGACTTGCCCACGATTTTCATTTTCTTTGTTTTGTTTGTATGTTATCTATGCAAACAGGGTACTGTGCTGTGCTCTTCTATTCACTAGTTGACAGCACTTATACACTCACCACCTGTCTCCTTTCCTGTTGTTAGCCTCTTGTATGTCCCTGCTGACCTTGGGAAACAGAGCCTATTCCTAGGTCCCCGGAATCTGAATGAGAATGCTATCACTTTAAAATCCAAAATGGTTGCCACTTGTAAGGATTCAAAATGGCTGCACCCTTGGTCACTTTAAATATCCAAAATGGCTGCCAGGTGTAAACAATCAAAATGGCCGCACCCTCTGGACAGCTGATTGTCTCCCTCCTTGCTCTTTCTTTTCCTAGGCATAGGCCACCAGTGCAGACGTCCCTGCAGCCCTTGGTGACCGGGGCTGATCTTTAGGTCAATTCTCAGGTCCCAACACCACTTGGAAATGTATTTAGGCTGTTGGTCTCATCAGGGTAGCTGAGAGTCCACAGCTCCGACTGTCTCTGTATTCACTGTTTTCATTCAGGTTTTTCCACTAGCTGGTGCCTAATCCACTTCTGTTTACTTCCTTTCAAAGCTCAGGGCTCCAGGATTATGTTCTGTATCTCTGTTAATTGGTTTTTCTTTTCTTTGTTGAAGAGGGTCTGTGTCACTTGTCTGCCTAGTCCTCTATCTTACTCTCCCCTTTAACTTTTGACTTTGCATTTTGAAGGCATATTGTCATCCTTGCACAGGGTAAGCATCTCATTTATACTTAGTTTCACTTATCCCTTTATTGGTTCTGCATAAAAAATTATTCACTCACTCAAACTTCCATTTATAATTTTATTAAATGCCCCTGTGGTATAAAGAACTGGTTAGAAATATATATGTGATACTTTAGGAAAAGGAACAAATTCCAAATAGGTTGTTCCTCTAGGAATAATGCTTGGAAAGTATATTGGGGTGATGGAAGGGCAGATCATAGTGTCAGACAATCTGAAGCCTCAGTTTCATCATCTATAAAAATGAGGACAATATTTATCTTATGCAGTTGTTGTGAGAAGTAAATGAGACAGTGCCCATAGCACTGGTCCATAGAAAGAACTTAGTCCATGTAATCTATTAGTATTGTGTTGCTTGATGCTTCAAAGAGTCCTTGCTCAGTATAAATATTTAACAGATTGGGCTGCAAACTGAAAGGTGCCAATCTGAGTCCACCCAGAGGTGCCTTGCAAGAAAGCCCTGGCAATCTAATTCCAAAAAATCAGCCATTGAAAACACTATGGAGCACAGGTCTACTCTTATACACAGGAGGTTGCCACGAGTGATTAACTGGTTATATCTTTTAAGGGAATGATTTAGACTTGAATATGTTGGCATTTTTCAAGTGTAGATGAAATGCCTTCTATATCCAAATCAACGTGGGTGCATTTAAAACTTGCAAATGCCTGGAACCTACCGCCGACTTACTGAATCATGCTTTCTCACGCTAGTTTCTCAGGTATATACTGAAAGACACTCTACTTTGTCCCAGTGCTGCTTGCTGATGTTCTACCTGCTGCTGTTGGGCTCTCTATGTGAGCTGGAGCTGCTAAGAGACTGGGTGGGGAGGATCTACTCACTTAACAATGTGCCAGGTGATCTGTTAGCCCACATTTCTGTGATGACTTTAAAGTGCAGTTATACAATGTGGTACATAGTACATAGTAGTACATTTACCCTCATCTCACCAATCCTTTATGAATTGTTTTTCATATCAGATTCAGGCAAGAAATAAAAGGGAAATGAAGAAAGGACTGGAAACAAGGAGATAGGAAAACAGTGTCTGTTAGATCTGCCAGATAACTGATGCATATCTCGTAATAACAAAGACAAGACTACTAAAGGCCAAGGGTAGAGGTAAAAGATAAAAGATTGGCATCTAGGAAAAGGATATTTTGGTGCCAACCTCTAGACATCTTTGGGTTCTCTGCTCTTTGTCTTTTGGGGACAGCTGCTGGGGTGGAGTGGAGGTTATGTATGGATTTTGGTCCTTGTGAATAGACATTTGTTGACAAGAGGCCAGTTTCAATTTAGTTTGAAGCTGTTAAAAATGTTTAGTTTTATTGGCATTTCAGAAAGGCAGCAATTGTTCTGATTCCCTGGCGTGACTGTTGAGGAGGCAGGCTGTGACTTGTCCTGTTTGCCCAAGTTGAGGCCCTCGGGAGAGGAAAATCAGATGGTGTCATTTTGAAAGCATATCCGTCTCCTGGCAGGAAGAGGTACACTGAAGTGGCGGTTAACTTCTTCCCTTAGGTTTCCAAAGTGTGGGGCTCTAGAAGCCCTTGCACTTGGCATCTTAGTTTGTTGCAGGCAGTCTGCCTTCCTGGGGAGATCTTAGTTAGGATGGTGACACACATTTGTGTGCATGAAGACCTTGTGGTCTAGTGGTTCATCAAACAATCTTTCACAAACGGCAGCCCAAACATTTCGCCACTGGAGAGTTAGTAATGAGCAGAGCTCTGGTGCTTCTTGGCTGGGTGGTATGGGGAGGGTACTTAAATTCTCTGAGCCTTAGACTCCTAATTTTGTTACTAACGTTATTGTGATGATTAAATGAGGTAATGTATGAGGAAACCCTTAGCACACAGGAAGGGTGTACACACAAGATATACACCCTCATTTGGGCTTAGGTGGATCTCCACTTTTCTGCCATCATGGCTGTGTCTACCCTCTGTTCAATGGGAGCCAAGGTATCTCATCACATGAAAATAATTTCAAGCTCATGATTAAGTAAAATTAAGCCAACAAATAGTAATTCATGATTTCCAGAATTAATTGATGCTATTCAAACCACTTGAGAACTAACACTAGAAACTAAAAAATAAACAACATTTAATAATACAAAATTATTTATTAGTAAAAAAAATTGATAATTTGTTCATTATAGAGCAAAGTACAACAACTGAAAGTTCCCTATAAAAATTTTAACTGTAAGTGAACAAAGTAGGAGTGGCACTCTGACTTGGTTTGAGGACTTCATATTAATGCCTAAGTTATCATCAGAACATTGAAAATGGTGGCATGTCAGCTGTGCTTGTGATATTTTGATAATGGGTTGCATATTTCGAGGGGTCATCTAGATGTGGTAGAAAAATAATGCAAAAATGTCTGCCATGTTCCAAATGACTGTCATCTCTATTAACCATAGCAGATGTCACAGTTTGTTTCCCTTTTATAGAAATCATTGGCTGCTGCAGTGGAGGAAGGAAAGTCCATATAGTCTGTGCTGGGATAGGAAAAATACTCTGATGCCCGGATGATGTCCAAGTGCTCTGCCTCACAGGACGTGCAGTAACAGACCGGGGCAGGGGCTGAGGAGAAGCAGTTGTACTGGGTGTGCGAGGGCAAGTGATGGCAGGAGTAGTCTTCTGAGGGATACCCACAGTTTCTGGCCTCCAAAGAAGGGGGAGAATTGTAATTCTCTGGCACATAGGAAGGTAGCTGGGCTGGTGAGTAACTGCAGTCTAAGGAGCCAGACAGAGTGGAGGAATCTGAAGGCGATCCTGGGGTCTAGAGAAATAAAAACCAAGGGACAAAGAACTTGTTAAGTTAGACAGGATCAAAAGAACTGTGTGAGGATTTATTAACTCAAGAGAAAGACAATCAGACAAAAAGAAAGGAAAAAAATAAAACCCAACACAAGTCAGCAGAAGTAATTTTAGTCACTGACTACATGATTTCAAGACAGCATATCTATATTTACCTATTTCTTTCTCAACAATAAATTGCCTTGCTTCACTGGCTTCCTTTGTTATAACCATACTTTAGAGGATGCTTTGTTCTTAAGCCACAAATTCCCATTGTGCTTCAAGTCACCTGCACATCAAATCCTGCTGTGGGGCATAATATAAGCTGCAGGTGGCACAATAGATGTTTCTCCACACCCTGACTGTGGAGTACAAGGAGACCACGGGAAGGTAGAAGTGGGATCCTTAATGACCCTGTGTCGGAGATACTCCAAGACGTAAAACTGTTCTAATCACCACTGAAGTGCTCTGAGGAAAAAGGTGTCTTCTGCTGTCTCTTAAGCAGGTCTGCAATTGTTACTGAGAAAGCCAAACTGGAGGCTGGAAGGGAATGTGGGGTTGGGGCCCTCTTATCTTCCACACGATGGGTGGTATGCATTCTCTGTGGAGTTAATTTTTGATCTCTTCTAAAATTTGTTCTGATATCTACACAGATTTCTGACAAATCAAAATGAAAAAGTACTTCCATTTCTAAAAAAAAACTTATTTTTTTTTAAGGGTTAAGAGTTATTTGGTGAGTTTCTAAAAAGTATTCAAAACAAGCAGTATCTATTATTGGAAACTTTACTCTATTTTGAAGGACAACACATTTTCAAACATTTGAGGTGCATCAAGCATGAACGTGAATCCAAACTCTTTCAAGCAACTGAGCATCATTTTTACTAACCACCTCCAGACCAAAAGAGTCCTTTTGTGTAAGGCAGATCAAAAGAACCAAACAGTAGAGCCAATTCAGTGACAACACCAAACCAAACTCTTCTACCAGAATGACAGTTTGGTACTGTGTAGACACAACCTTAATACCATTTTCAAGATTTCAAAAATCCATTAATCAATCTATGTTGTGTTTCCTAGGTGTCAATGTGTGAATCAGTGATTTCCAGTTAGTAAGTGTTTTAACTTCACAGTTCAAAAAACATTAAATGGATATTGCTAGGAAAACTCTTTTTTATTGCCACACATCAACTTCCTTGGGAAATCCTAATTACATGTGTATGTAAAGGTTTGAGTCCTGTCAGGTGTGGCCATTTCTACTTCCATTGATTTTTCAATGCTTCTCTACACGTTTCCTCTGTTGATTTCCTCCAGCATTGATGCTAACCCTCTCACAAAGCATTATGAACCCACAGTAACCAACAATTGAGTTTAGTAAAAACCTGAGATAAATTACCAGGCTCTGATTAAAGCAGAAAGGAGCAGCCTGGAAGCTGTCTGGGAAACAGTGTGACATGTTTTGCATGGAACTGAACGAAGGGTCTGTGTGTGTCTCTGTCTGCAGGTAGGAATCGAACATCTGGTCAACACGGCTTGGGTTCTCCTCACAAGAAACACAACTGGAAAATTCTTGGGGTTGGAAATAACCGGGTGTGGAAGGAATTGGTTCAGGCTCAAAATACAGTCCTAGAGGAGAAATGAGAAAGAGAGACTTTAGTTTAAAAATTGTACTTACAGATTCTCATGGAATTTTATTTTAAATTCTTCATATTTACTACATCCAGGGAAAAGGTGGCTTAACAGTTCCAGAAAGGTAGCTGGCAGGTAATTTGGAGTTTTTAGTTGTTTTTGTTAATTTGAGTCCTAGAGAAATAAACTTACTTAGAAGTGAGGAAATTGGCTGTAAATGTGGCTGGGAGAAAAATAAAAGAATGATGATCCAACCCGTGTCCACGTGTCAAATAATGGCTCAAGAGTCAACTTTCTTAGCATCAACATCTAGCCCCTATGTGCAGTTCAAGTACACCTCTCTGAAGTAACTTATAGAAAACATCTGATACTGCAGGAAATAATTCTCTTGATTTATGATTACTGTGCTCCTAAAATTTTCACGCTTACTCAGTAACTTAAATTTTGAGGAGCAGGTTTCAAAAAGTGATAAGAATGGCAGTGCAAATTTAAGCAATGGAAATCAAGAACATGGAGTACAAATTAGTACTAGCTGCCTTACATTACATAAAACAATATAATATTTTCTTCCTGAACATGATAATACAATTAAAATAATTTGTTGAGCACCAAAAAAAGAATAATTCTGCAAACATTACACCTTCTCAATTTTATTATAAATAGGTCCAACTTGTGATTATTACCCTTAAATGTTCAAGAAAGGTTAAGTTTAGAGTATGTGCATCACAGGGACCACAAAACACTAGAGTTTTCTGAGTCTGAAGGCTCCTTTAAGGTAAAGTTGAAGTGACATACTCATAGGGTGCTACCATAAGCACAGGTTTCTTACCTAAATACATGATCTTCTTCAACTATCAGCCTGTTGAGTGGCACAGGTAGAAGTGCTTATGTAATAGTTATTTGTATCAGGCTAAGAAAACTTATACTTGTTTAAAGTGCTTTCTGGGAAAAGAGAGAAGAAGGGGAGGGAAGCCCCTGTCGGCTAGAAACTAAATGAACAACAGCAAAGGCATTATTCTCCTGCTTCAGGATGTTCTTTGTTCCATCTAATACACTGAAAAAGATAACACGTTTCTGAGAACAATTCTTTAGCCTAGTTATTTGGTGATAAGGAACTGGAATGGATGTGAAGAACAAACTCTTTGGACAGAATAGTTCTGAAAGGAGGACAAAAATGTGCATGTTTCCTCACTGGGCTTGCATCTGGAGTCACTGTGCCTTTTTCACCTTCTGATTGGTTGGATTCCTATTAAATGGTGGTGCCTATCTTAACCCCTGAATCAAGCACCGAAAGGCTCTCGAGGTGGACTTTGAAATAGCTTTTGAGGGAACTGCGATGCTGGCTGAACTGACCTGCAGAAGCTGGTGCGACTGGGTCTGCAAGGTGGACACTGCTGCTTCCAGACAGCTGCCAAAGGAAGCACAGGATTATCATGCAGAGTGAAATAAAAATTCTGTCACGGCAAAGTTAAGACTTCTTGACGTGAACTATGCTTCCTTCTGCTATAAGGTAAAGCCATACTCTTTCTTCTAAAAGAGTTGCCTCTCAACATACAATCAATGACATATTTTATTTAAACTCATTTAATGTTGGGGCTTTCTGTTCCCCTATTCAGACTCTCCAACTTAAATTTTAAAGGTTATTAATTTTGATAGAAAGGAATGTAAACAATTTTTAATGTTACTGAACTCTAACAGTTTGAGCAAGCTGAACAAAAAGCTTTTCTATTAAATTATTTTATTTAAAATTAATGAAGACTTTCAATTATTGAATACCAACTGTCCATGACTTAGCCAATCATTTTCTTCCAAAATCTTCATATACCTTCTGGCCGCTTAACATCAGGAATTTGTTTTTCCCAAAGGGAGCAATTCCTAACTTTGTTCTTTCTGAATAGCTAAATAGAGTCTAATGCTGTTATTATGTATAAAATATTAAAATAGAAAATATTTTCTTTAAGTTGTAATCCATGAGCAGGAACATATCTATATCCTACTAAGTGTCTGGGGAATATTTCAACATCTGGTATGTTTTTCACCATTTTTGATAAAAAAGTTGCTCTTTTACTACTGTCTCTAAATACTTGAAGTATATACAACTGCTCCTTTTGTCTATGTAAAGTAATGCAGGCTGCATTTTACAGTTGAATTGATAATTGTATTAACAAAGTAATTTAGGGTTTTTTTTTAGTACGTTTCTTTCAGGTGGTGGCTTTAAAGTTTAAAGAGACCCGCATTGCTCTGTGATTCTGTACCAGGAAGCCAAGCTCACCACCACACCTCTCTCTTGGGTTACAGGGTACACTCACTCCCTTGCACCGAGCCACTTGGAGAGCTGCATGATCAGCTGCTGCTGAAACAGGAGGTGGTGGTAATTTTGAAAACAATCCATGCTGTAATGTCATGAACCAGGAAGCTGGAATCAGTTACTGGCTCTTTATGCAAATATTTGGCTGCTTTAGCTAGAGCTAAAGGACTTTGAAGGAGTGGGTTTTAAAATATCTGCTTCACTGCAGAGCTCTCATTAACCCCATTCCTCCCCCGGATTGGCGCGTTTGTCTGGCCTCCCCATGTTATCTCCCTGAGGTATGTTTACAATATCCTACTTGATATTATCTTTCTAGTCATGGGTTCACTTTCTACTTTGCTCCAAGAATACAAAGGAAGGCACCTCTTTAAGATTTCAAACAGCACAAAAATCCACCATCTACAATTTATAAAAACACATCAAAGCTGTTGAAAAAAATCAAGGTACGAAAACAAAAACATAAAGGTAAATTCCATCTTTTGATAAGTACTTAACTCAAGTTTCCCTTCACTGTAAAGGCAAAAGAAGTATGTTTGTGTGTGTGTATGTGTGTGCGCATGCACATACCCGTGTGTCTTTTCTGGCATGTGTGTCTGCAAATTGATCTGGCTGAAATAGGGTTCTGTAATCAAATTTACAAGTCTGGCATGTACATGTTTCTCCTGGCACTGTTGAATGCCTGGTATTTGTCTCGGTCTACAACTCCCATTCATGACTGCCTTTTTAAAATTTCAAATTGTGGACACTACTCTACTTTATAACAAATTAAGATAAACTTCTTCCTGCTGAGTAATATTTGATAAAATTAACTCCCTTCTTGGCTTAAGTTTCCTATAGGCATCCTTCAACAAGGAACGAATTGGAGATAATCTCTGTTGAGCCAGGAAGTTCTGCACCAAGGAGCACGCATGATTTATCTTCTAATAGCTCCTATCCTAAGAGTCCCTGGGTGGCACAAATGGTTAAGCGCTCAACCACTAGCCCAAAAGTTGGCAGTTTGAACCCACCCAGAGGTGCCTAGGAAGACAGGCCTGGTGATCTGCTTCTGAAAGGCTGCAGCCTTGAAGACGCAATGGAACGTTCTATGCTGCACACATGGGCTCCCCATGAGTCGTATGGCAAATAACAACAACAACATCTGCTGTCCTTGCCTGTTTAATATATCCTCACAGCTTTCCTAGAATCTCAGTTCCTTCTGATGGCTCTTAGTGAAGGATTTTACATTTGACTCTTGTATTTAAATCATCTGTGTTCCCTCTGTATGCCTGGGAGGGCACAGGCCGACACAATCTTCTGGAAAGCAAAGTGCAGCCAGCTCCTCTCTGCATGTTCCTGCAAGGCAGTGCTTCAGGCATATTGCTTTATTATTTCTCAAGGAGAAATTCAGAAAAAAATAAGTCAATCTGCTTGAGGGATCAGAAACTTGTCAAATACAAGTCAGATACACAGGAGAAGTGTTCTACTTTGCTATAGCTCCTGAAACTGGCTAATGGGGAGGATGATGGCTAAAGACATCATAGCAATAAAACTGTCATGGCCAAATGGGACCACTTCAAGTATGTCTGAACTTGTAATCTACAATGTATATCCAAACTCCTTAATAAGAGATTGCATTTTGTTATGAACATCATGAACTTTTTTTTTTTTTTTCTCTCCAGAAGCACTTCCCAGTTCTCTTGTACCTGGTTTTATTAATTTTATAATTATCTCTGAACTGAAGGGAATGTGGCTACCAGACTCCTGCTCAGCACACCTGAACCTGCAGAAAGACGAATTGTTTAGGAAGCCAATAGGTGAAAAGGTTTTTTTTGCACTAAGAATAAGAAGATTTTAGTCCTACTTTCAGCTCTGCCATTAGTAACTTCAGGACTTTAAACTTCGGCTATAATAGGGGTATACGGATCTCTGGTCTACTTACCTCACCAGGTTGTATAAGAATTCAATGAAATAGTGTATGTGCAAAAGTGCTTTAAAGGAGGAACCACTATAAAGCCTTCTACAAATGTAAGGAAGTTTTACTGTGTTAGCTGAAATTTCGCACAAAACCAAACACACTGTCACTGAGTTGGTAAATCTTTACAGAAGGAGATTACCCAGTCTTCCTTCTGTAGAGTAGCTGGTGGTTTTGAACCGCCAATCCGCTGGTTAGTTCTCAAATGCCTTAGGCACTATACCACCAGAGCTCCTTCTGCACAAGGTGGTGCTAACTTCTCCAGTAAAGGCAAAAAAAAAAAAAAAAGTGCTGTGTGTGCCACATCCCAGAGAGCTCACACCTGAACTCTAAACTGCTAGCAAAGGGTGTTGAGGAACATTGCCTGATAGCTGGCTTTTAATCCCTCAACTCAAAACTCACTCACTGCCATGGAGTCATTTCCAAGTCATAGCAACCCCTCCTTCGGTTCTGAGGTGGTATCCCTACAGAAGTAGATTGCCCAATCTTCCTTCCAAGGAATGGCTGGTTTGGGATTTGATTTTAGTTACTTTTCACAAATAATAATTATTGAGCACTCACTATGTGGAAAGCACTCTTCTAAGTGCTTATTTAACATGCAGTACAACCAAAACCAAACCCATTGCCATAGAGTCGATTCCAACTCATAGCGACCCTACAGGACAAAGTAGAACTGCCCTATAGGGTTTCCAAAGCTGGAAATATTTATGGGAGCAGACTGTCTCATCTTTCTCCTGCAAAGAGGCTGGTGGGTTTGAACTACCAATGTTTTGGTCAGCAGCTGAATGCTTTACCACTATTGCAACAGAACTCCTTTAACATACAATAACCCTTATTATTTCTAATTTTGAGATGAGAAACCAAGATAAGGAAGATTGAGTAATTTGCTCAAGGACACACACCATGGAGGAGCTGAGATCTGAACCCAGTCTATCTAGTTCTAGAACTTGTGTCCACAGCCACTACATCATTTGCCTCCCCCCACAGGTACTCATTTCATGAAGAAATGGAAGTTGTGCACTGCACAGAGTTGTGTGTTGGCACAGGACCCATTGTGGGACAGATGCCAATATGCTTCAGACAGGCCCAATTCTCACACAGGCAATACGGACTCCAGCTTTTGGACACCCACACCAACACACAAGGAATTGTTTCACCAAGGGCTTTTGGCAAAGAACTACTCTCGGGGTGGGGGTGGGGGTGCAGCCCCACCTAGTTTATGCGGTTCTTCTGTTGTCATGCCCTTGGCAATACTTATCTGCTTTAAGAAGATCTATAAAGTGTCAGAGTACCCTTATGACTTCTCAGATCAATCTTATGATAACCTAGAACTATTTAAGGCCTCATTACATCGTCAGGAAGTTGTTCTATATTCCAAGTTGACTTCCTAGCAGAGATGTGGTTCCTTTCTGTTCAGAACTTTCAGTAATTGGTGATTGATAGATAAATGACCTCAGAAGCTAAGTTCCAGAAGAATGAGGGAGGGGAAGATGCTCAAAAAAGGTTATCCTTGAGAGACTGCATAAAATGAAGTGAGATTTCTGGGAGAGCTTTTCCATGGGTATGTGAGGGCACATGTACTGTTTTCCTTATAGAATAACCACCTGCTTACCTTCTGGCTGCTCCTCTCCCTGCAGAGGACAAACATGCCCTTTCTATTCAACTCTGATGAGGGATGGGCTCCCTAAAATTTTGAGCCCTACACCATGGGGGCAACTGCTCTCTGTGGCTTCCTGTGGTGAACTGGGATGAAGCTGGGCACAGACGTTATAAGAACAGTGGAGAAAGGCAAGGTTTGGGAATGGTCTGTGGGGTCTAGGTTGGCCTATACACCTTCCCAGACACAGGGCTGAGTGAGGCCTAATGGGCTGGGAAGTAAGTGAAGGGTTTATGCTTACGGTTCCCCTTGAGGCTGCCTGGTGTGCCCTTCTCTGCTGCAGCAACTCCTTCACCGTGATCTTCACCCGGACACCTTGATACACCTTTGGTTTTTCTGGGGGGAAGGCAATTGAGTCAGGCAGGTAGAGTTTGGTGAGTCCTGGCCATCTCTCAAACTTGAAAAGATAAACAGAGGCTGATCAGGTCTCAGAGCCCTGATGGAAACAGAACCCATGGAAATCTGTGGAACCTTCCAGCTCTGGCCCACCCAATCCCTAAACCAACAGCACACAGGTTTTCCTGCTCAGAAATGTGGACACTAACCAGGGGAGCTCACCACCTTAGCTAACTAAGTTGGGAGAACTTGGGGTTTTGGGTCCAGACACTGGCCTGGGGAGGGGCCCGCAGCTGGAGTGTGGGAGCTCTCGCTGATCTATAGAGGCTGACCTAGCCCACCCCACTGTAATGTTCCCACTGGTGTGGAAGCGCTGAGTCCCTTCCTTCTCCACCAGGCCAGGCGTGGCCTCTGCTTAGGCTCCGACCTCTATGTGCTCTTGGTGTGAAAGCCAGCCCTGGGGCAAGAGGCAGGCAGGTAGTTGGCGAACTCTCGCCACTGTTCTGTGATGGACTTGCCAAACTGACCTCAGTAAAGGGGCCAGGCACAGGGAATTCCCTCTGTATATCTTTTTCATTTGCCTTTCTCGACTCCATCTTTTCCTCCTCCCTCCTTCTTCCCCCGCTCCGGCTCTCCCCTTCTACTAGTCTCTTCCCCCTCCTCCCTCTCAGGCAGGCAGTCCTCCGCTGCGCGCCGCCCTAGCGCACGGAGCCTCGGGGTCGAGTCCGTTCAGCGCGAGCTCTCAAGAACGCGGTCCCGAGGCTACCGAGGATCGCGCACTCCTATGGGAGTCCGCCCTCGTAAGAGGCTGCCATTCGGGCTAGCTGGGCCAGACGTGACCAGGCCGGCGAGGACTGCCGGGCTTGCGTGAGCAGCCGAGGGCGCGCCGAAGGGGTCCGCGGGAAGGGAGCCCCGGTGCGCCGGGAGCGGGCAAGCCGCGGTCCCGCTGAGCCGCAGTGAGTAGGTCCGACCGAGTGGCTTGGCCAAGCCGGGCCGCGAGAGCTTTAGGGGCTGCTCGCAGGACCCCAGTGGGATTCCAGGCTTGACCTAGACCCTGGAGTCAGCGCTCGGCGGAATCGCGCGGGAAGGGGGCTGGGTCCTGCGCCTTGGCCAGCCGCGCCTTCAGCCTGGCCCCCAGGCAACAGTGCCCAGACTGGCAGCGCCTCGCCTGGTCACTGTGGGAACCGCAGCTGGACAGCAGGGAGCCCCCAGGCCAATTCCCGGAATCTGGGGGGTCTTCCCCAGGAAACAAGGTTGCGTTATTCCTCGCCCAGACCCAGGGAGTCCCGCGCCAACTCGCAGGGCCGGGGCGTCGCGCCCTCTTGGCGGTCCAGTCACCCCCCCTAACTGCCTCGCCAGGATGTGGGCTCCGCTGGCAGAGGGTACTCCTCGGGGTCTCATTAGCTCAGCTCAAGGCCCGCGTTAGCTCAGCTCTATGAGGCCGGCGCGCCCTGCTCGCGTCCTGGGCTCACTGTGAGCCTCTAGCTCCCCCCGCCGCCGCTTCTGGGCGCGCAGAATCCGCGCCGGGAAGTCCCAGACACACAAATGGGGAAAAGTGGGAGGGCAGACGGGGGACAGGGGTACGCGAACGGTCGACGTCCGGAGCGGCCAACACAGCCTCTGGGCCTCTGTCCTCGGTAGCCTACGCCGAATGGGAGCGGCCACAGCGTGGCCCTCTCCGAATCCCCGGCCCTAACCTGTGTGCCCTGACTTTATGCCTCTGTTCTATGCAGGGAAAGCTGTGGAAAATCACCCGGATCGAAATTCCCCCCGGCCCGTGTGACCCTACAGCAAGAGAAACAGTCCAGTTACCCGACATCGTGGTCAGCCGTTGGGTCGGTGGCTGGATGCTGCAGCTGCAGAGATTCAGCGCCTAGGAGGGCTCCTGTGCAGGGAGGGAAGCAGAGATGCAACATTTTTAAAGTTTCACAAAGCATCCAGCAGCACCCGAGCCCCAGGAGCAGGAGACAAACAGAATTAATGTTTTATACCTTCGGGTATAGGTTTGAGTTTTTTCCCCCTCATGCCAAGTATTTAAAACCTCTAGAAACCCATGATTTGACAATCAATGATTGCGCGATACTTTCAATTTGAATATTCAAAGGCTTAACAAAATGGACTATCTTCTGCAGAAATCTTGCACACAGGCACCCCACAGGGAGTCCAGAGAAACAGGGAGTGAGATCCCTTTGGGGCCTGTCCCTTGCTTTTACTGTATTTTGAGCATTTTGTGCACCTTCTCACAGACAGAGCAGGTGCTCTCAAAGATGCTCTGTATTTCTCCCTCAAAGGCAGCTCTAGGAACCCAGAGTGACTGAGGCTGCTCTCCATGACCACCTGAGCCAGGCTGGATGGCTCGACTGATTACTACATCTACAATCTCCATTTTAAGGGAAAACCTCAGGTTTTGAGGAATGAACATGGCAGCCAGGGGGTGTGGCATGTCTAGGGGTGATTCTGGGCCCAGGTTGTAGGCCTGAGGCCCAATGGAGGCCTTCGCTCTGCAGCTGGTCTCCTTCTGGCCCCACCTGGCCACGTGCAGGCTTCCCTCCCCTTTTCATTCCACTGTCTGCCTGGGCCCCAAACACTGGGGTTTCAGCACAGATTGTTTGCTCATTAAGACCCTTTGCTCCTCCCTGTGGAGCTGGAGATGCCCTAGGCCTGGCACTCGGAGATTTTTGAGGTGGTAGTTCTTCACTGTCAAGTTTCTGTCCTTTCTTCCTCCTCGTTTTCCCCTTAAAGCCATCATTGCCTACAGCAAATGTTGAGAGATGGTGACAAGCTTGGGGCTTGCTCATTTTAGCTGAAAGGTCATGAATTTGTGTTCAAGGCTTCTCACTGTAGGGTGAGAAGCAGGGCGTCTTTGAGGTCATGCTGATCCCTTAGTCCAGGTCTGACCCTTCACAAATTCCTTGCGGACTGTGCTGGGTCATCTCCAACTACTTGCTGTGCTACTTCCGTGTGGTTTAGAAGTTTGATGAGACAGGCGTGGTCCAGAGAGGGAGTGAGAGCCAGACCAAATCCTTTCTTAGCCCCTGAGGGAAGGGGGAGTACTAGAAGACAGAAGACTGAGAAGAAACAGGGTGGGGTTCCCTGAGCAAATAAGCCCAGATAGTCCCATGATTCTAGGCTAGGTAATAAGTATGGGGCTCCGCTCTTTGTTCCCTGAGTTCTTTGAAAGTACAAAAATGTAGTTAGTCTCAGAAAAATCCCTGAATGCCCTTGATGGTGTCTGGTGCATGGAGGAGCATATCGAGGTGGGGGAAAGGGGTTCTCTGAGAGTGATGAGACAGGATAGTCTGCTGGGTAGGGACTGCTCAGCTTCTGAAGCCTTGTCTTTGGGAGAGAGGGTCAGGGCTGGGAAATCTGGGGGAGCACCTGGCAGTGAAGGGCAGGATGGGGTGTGTAGGACCCAGGCCAGCTGCAGTCTGTCAGCCTTTGAAAGTCTCCTGAACCCTCCTCCTAGGTTTCCCTGATGGGAGACAGGCCTGAGGAGATAGGTCTTGAGGAGAGGGAAGGATGCCAGGAGTGGAGAGAGACCGTATTCCTCTCTTCCTTGCCTGCCATTGCCCCTTCTGAATCAACAGTGAGCAAAGTAGCATCTGAGCATCCCCACCCAGGCTCTACCTGAGCCTCAGCTTGCAATTAGGGATGCCCTTTTGTCCCCATAGATTCTTCCCTTGCTTCTTTTCTCTTCCACCCTCCTATTCTCTTATTTTTAGCTTTTCTTCTTTTTTTTTTTTTTTTAAATCATTCTCATTATCCTTTTTAATTTTCTCCCTTTGTCTTAATTTCTTTTCAAATTCTTTCTGTCTTCCTGTCATTGCTTCCCTCCATTTCTGGTCTCTGTCCTGTTTTTCTTCCTGGCCTCCTGCACTGTCTCTGTTTTCCCCTGTTCTGGGGTGTTGTCTCATTCTTTCAGGCTTCATCTTCCTAACCTCCTCTTTCCATGGTAATGGACAGGGGTGGCAGGAGGCCGTTACATTCCCTCAGCAACATCATTGCAGTTGGTGCTGACTTGGGAACTCTGTGAAAACAGGCAGTGCTGGGTGAGAGCTCCTTGGGAAATCATGGCTTCTGTGGGAACAGCAAAGAACTCTTTGTCCCTTCCTCTAGGAGCCTCTGCCTGAGCTGTGGCAGCAGTCCATGTGACCCGTCTCTGAAATGGACAGCCACTTGCTCGATGCTGTTGCTGGCCAACAATTTTAGACAACTGGGCCTCCCCAGGCCTATGCCCTATTTTGAGAAAAAAAAAAAAAAGCCCCAACATTTAGGAGTTTGGATCTCTGCTGTTTCTGTAATTTCAGATCCTCTATACACACTGAAGAGCCAAACTCCATGTTTATGGGGGTAAGCAGGGGGAATTCTTTCTAAATGCATCGTGCAAGTCTATAGATCTCATGTGATGAGGATGGAGCAACTAGGTCTACCCTGAGACCCTCAGACATCCATAGGATTGGTTATGCCTTATAGGAGGCTTTTAAAAACTATCTCTTATGGAGTGCTTGCTGTATGTCAGGCATTGTGTCATATAGTGTCCCCATTTTACAGACAAAGAAACAGGCATGAGGAGTTAAGCAACTTGCCCAAAATTACTGAACACATAAATGGCAGAATTCAGATTAAAATTTTGATAAAGCCCTTGGTTCCAACCATTGCTGAGTTCTACCTTCCTGATCTTTTTCAACACAGACTGTCAAATTTTCTTGACTTTAATCCACAATTTGCTCTACATGTTCATTCACTACAGCTATAACAACATCCCTATTTAGTATCCATAGTAAACAAACTTCATAAAACAGTACATGTGGATATATGTGTGGATGTACGTGTATTTTCTATTCTAGTCCATCTTTTCCAATTCAATCTATTTATTAAAGATTTATGTTTGTTGGGATTCACAAAGTCAATTGAACGACCCACTCATGAGTTCTAGGGTGTAATGGTGGTAGAATTCTCACCTGCACTGCAGGAGGCCTGGGCTCAGTTCCCAGCCAATGCACCTCATGTGCACTCACCACCCATTTCTCAGTGGAGGCTTGTGTGTTGCTATGATGCTGAACAGGTGTCAGCAGAGCTTCTGGATTAAGACAGACTAGGAAGAAAGACCTGGATACCTATTTCCCAAAACCAGCCAATGAAAACCTTATAGATCATCATGGCTTGATCTGCAACCGCTCATAGGGATGGTGCTGGACTGGGCAGTGTTTTGTTCCATTGTACATAGGGTCCCTGTGAGTCAGGGGCTGATGGGAGCTAACAGCCACAACTGAGTCTTAACTCAAACCAAAAAATAGTGCCATTGAGGCGATTCTGACTCATAGTGACTTTCATTGGGTTTCTGAGGTGATAAATCTTTATAGAAGTAGCTCGCCCCGTCTACCTTCCACAGAGCTGCTAGTCGGTTTGACTGCCAACCTTCTGGTTAGCAGTCAAATGCCTTAAGCACTGTGCTACCAGAGCTTCTTAAGTTGTAACTAGCATTGGAAAATTATTACCTTTAAGATTTACCAGCACACTTGTCATATGCATGTGAAAGTAGGTTGGTATGCAATTTGTTTTACTATCAGTGTGTGTGAGGAGGCTAAGACAAGGC